ATCCAGAGGGCTGAGGAGAGGTTGTTGAGGTGGTTCAGACATGTAGAGAGAATGTAATGAAACAGAATGACTTCGAGAGTGTATAAATCTGTAGCGGAGGGAAGGCGGGGTAGGGGTTGGCCTAGGAAAGGTTGGAGGGAGGGGGTAAAGGAGCTTTTGTGAAAGGGGCTTGGACTTCCAGCAAGCATGTGTGAGTGTATTTGATAGGAGTGAATAGAGACAAACGGTTTTTAATACTTGACGTCCTGGAGATATGACGTACAGTGTCTGCACTCTGAAGGAGGGGTACTAATGTTGCAGTTTTATAACTGTAGTGTAAGCACACCTCTGGCAAGACAGTGATGGAATGAATGATTATGGAAGTTTTTCTTTTTCAGGCCACCCTGCCTTGGTGGGAATCGGCCAATGCGTTAATAAAAAAATAATAATATCAGTAGGAAAGAAGAATTTCCTTCCAACATCTCTTCTGTTCCACCTTGTTGAAAGTTCTGCTTTTGATGCATACTTTTGATGGAAATTAATGCATTGCATCAACTTTCATTTTAATTTACCTCTTATACTCTACCATACCTCCACTAACTCTTACCCTTGCACACTCCTGCCCCTCACCATCCCCATACATCCCTCCCTGCAGCATGGTATAACATTTTTGGGTTTAGCATTTAATTATATTTTTATTATTTTCATCCTCAAGCGTTGGATGATCTCTGTAAGTTTAGCCCCTCAAGGGAGGTTCCTTGATGCTGGTGAGGGGCTCTTGATCTAGGAAATTGGATCTGTGCTCCGGTTCCTTGAATTGAGCCTGAATACCTCCCATCCCCCACCTGCGGGTTTAGCGCTCCACATGATTATAATAATAATCTATAAGTTTAGTGCTTAACATTATAATATTACTAAGGGTTTTGGTATAACCAGAAAGTGTTCGAAACCCCCATAAAGTTCATCTTTTTCTATCAGTATTAAGTACCGCACTGCATATCCACACATGCATACATATATATACACACATAAGCATATATATACACACAGGCATACATATGCACACAGGCATACATATGCAAGGGGTTGCACAAATACATGCATACTTAGGTAACCATATGCATTCACACACTCAGCTCCTCGCAAGGCCAGGAGCTGAGTCTCGACCCCTTCAACCACAATTAGGTGAGTACATGTACCACACACGCTTACGAATGCATAAACTTGTACATATACCTTCACAAGATCGGTCAGGTAAATGGTTGCTTGAATTCAACCCCAGAAAATGCCTAGTACATCGCCAGAGGCTCACACCAACTGAATAACTTCTGCAGCTAATGCTCCTCTGGTAAATCTAAGAATAGCTTCGAAGAATCTGAACAGTTATTCAGGGTCCTTTATAGAACAGATGTCAGGACCATTTGGAGCTGCAGCACAGGCAGGGAACCCACACCTGAACCTGGAGTTTACCTGGAGAGAGTTCCGGGGGTCAACGCCCCCGCGGCCCGGTCTGTGACCAGGCCTCCTTGTGGATCAGAGCCTGATCAACCAGGCTGTTACTGCTGGCTGCACGCAATCCAACGTACGAGCCACAGCCCGGCTGGTAAGATAAGATTTCGTTCGGATTTTTAACCCCGGAGGGTCAACCACCCAGGATAACCCAAGAAAGTCAGTGCGTCATCGAGGACTGTCTAACTTATTTCCATTGGGGTCCTTAATCTTGTCCCCCAGGATGCGACCCACACCAGTCGACTAACACCCAGGTACCTATTTGCTGCTAGGTGAACAGGACAGCAGGTGGAAGGAAACGTGTCGAAATGCTTCCACTCGCTGGGAATCGAACCCGGGCCCGTGTGTGAAGCGGGAGCTTTAGCCACCAGGCCAGGTCAGGTACCGACTTTAGGTGCCTGTCCAGTGCCTGCTTGAAGACGGCCAGGGGTCTATTGGTAATCCCCCTTATGTATGCTGGGAGGCAGTTGAACAGTCTCGGGCCCCTGACACTTATTGTATTGTCTCTTAACGTGCTAGTGACACCCCTGCTTTTCATTGGGGGGATGTTGCATCGTCTGCCAAGTCTTTTGCTTTCGTTGTGGGTGATTTTCGTGTGCAAGTTCGGTACTAGTCCCTCTAGGATTTTCCAGGTGTATATAATCATGTATCTCTCCCGCCTGCGTTCCAGGGAATACAGGTTCAGGAACTTCAAGCGCTCCCAGTAATTGAAATGTTTTGTCTCCGTTATGCGCGCCGTGAAGGTTCTCCGTACATTTTCTAGGTCAGCAATTTCACCTGCCTTGAAAGGTGCTGTTAGTGTGCCGCAATATTCCAGCCTAGATAGAACAAGCGACCTGAGAAACTAGAAAAAGTGCAATAGTGCAATGAGACTAGTTCTAGAGTTAAAAAGTATGAGAGGCTAATAGAACTGGAACTAATGACACTGGAGAATAGAAGAACCAGGGGAGACATAGCAACATACAAGATATTGAGAGGTATTAATAGGACAAACTGAGAGGCGAGAAACAAGTTCTCTGGGGCACAGCTAGAAGTTAAAAGACGATGAGCAACAGGGATGGATGTCAGGAAAGTATTTTTTTCAGTCTCAGTTTGGTCGGGAAGTGGAATGACCTCGACGAAGTGGTTGAGGCAGGTTTCATACATGGTTTTAAGAGTAGGTATGAATGGACCCACAAGGCTACGAGGAAGTGAATTTGGCAAGTAGTGAGTTGAGAAGCGAGGCCAGGAACTAGGATTGGACCCCTGCAACCCTATATTGATGAGTACAAGCTTACATATGCAAATGTACATACGTACATGCATACACATATGCGCATACATATTTTTACATTTTGGTGGGTTAGAGTTTGATGACCACTCTGGACTATTCCTTTCGCGTGCATTGAGGTAGAGAGCAGGTAGGATAGAGCCCACGGGGTTAGGAGTGAATCTGGCAACTGGCATGATGAGAGGCGGGACCAGGAGCTGAGAATCGACACCTTTCAACCACAAATAGGTGACTACATACAAGAACGAGTATGGTATGCAGTAAATGCATGATTTACTATTATCTGTACTTACAAATACTGTTTTCTTATTAACCACATCACGTATCCGTCTTCAATCCTTTCCTTAAATTTATATGTGTGACTAATGAATGAAAAGGCACAATACCGCGACTGGAACAATGCACAGATAACCCGCACATGGGAGAAATAAATTTATATCGATGTTCTGGTCTGACTTAGACCATAATTAGTGACTTGTAAGTTATACTAGTGGCCTTCAAGAATTGTCTTGTTCTTTACTTCTCCATTCAAGGGAGGTGTCTTGATGCTGGTGAGGCTCTTGATCTAGGGAACTGCATCTGTGCTCCAATTGAGCACAATGCTCAGTTGGAGCACTTAATGCTAATATTAGGGCTAGGCTAAAACTACCTCTCACTGGTACGTGTAGAGATGTTAATAACATCAAATGCAAAGTGTATGGACACAGGGCCATACACAGGAACATCGTATTTTAAGTGTAAAAATTTTGAGCCTATCAGAAACACCTCCATGCAAACTCTCAGATATGGAAAACATTGTTAATCAGATACCTGAAATCTTGAGACTGTATCCACATTTTGCGTTGCCTAGATGAATATAACTGTAACTGCATAAAAAATCCTGCTTAAGAGTTTATATGTAACCTTAAATAGTCTTTAAGCATTAGGATCAGTTTGTCCAAAATGCATTGCGTTGGGGGGCGTTGACCCCCGAAACTCACTCCAGGTATACTAGTGGCTTTCTTTTGTGTCTAAAAATGTTTCATTACATGTAAACTACATTATAAAAATAAAATAAAAATCTAAATTTGAATTATACTTTATTTTTGAAGAGTGGAACCTGATAACGAATAATGCTTCAGTGGTAATAAGATACATATTGTAACTCCATATTGTATTGTATTCATTAGCTATATGAAGAAATTGCAATAGGTGTCCCGTAGCTCGATGGCTAGCGCACTCAGCTCACACACTGAGGTCTAGGGCTCGAATCTCCTCCGGTACGGCTGGAAAACATTAGAGACGTGTTTCCATAAGACACCTGCTGTCCCTGTTCACCCATCAGTTTTAAAATGGGTACCTGGGTGTTAGTCGACTGGTGTCGCATCCTAGGACAAAACTGACCTAATTTGCCCAAAATGCTCAGCATGTATAATATGTACTTGTAGTAAATAAAGATTTATATTATTATTATTATTATTATTATTATTATTATTATTATTATTATTATTATTATTATTATTATTATATAGATTGACATTTTTTTTTCGTGAAACTACACCTGATTGGGTCTGATAAAGACCCCTGTAATCCCCTTTTTTGAGTTATAGTTCACAAATTGAGGACGAGATAAGGCAAGAGAAGCACCTTGAAATAGGCACTTAGGCGGCACAACTATACTACTACTAATGATAATAATAATAATAATAATAATAATAATAATAATAATAATAATAATAATAATAATAATAATAATAATAATAATAATATCTTTATTTACTACAAGTACATGTACAAGGTATACAGACCATAGCTGACATTAATGACATACTACTATATAGAAAGCCCTTTGTTATGCTGAGCATTTCGGGCAAATTAGGTCAGTTTTGTCCCAGGATGCGACCCACACCAGTCGACTAACAGTTTAGTTTAATATCTTTTTATTATATACCACACACTCATCTTATGAGTAGCATTCAAAAGATCACAGAGGCACATAACTGGTCCAGGGACTAGTTCGCAAAAGTTTTGAAAGCTAAACAAGTTACAGCGGTAATGAGCAATTTACATGTAACAATCGTAATGAGCTATTTATGCCCGAAATGCACCTCATGCTAGTAGCTTTCTTTTATGCCTAAAAATATTTTATTACAAGTAAACTACATATGCTGGTAATCTATGTATTTTGTGTATACCTGAATAAAATTAATGCAGATGAAAACACTATGTTCAATTAGGCATAAAGTTTAGTGGACCTTAACAACCCAACAACAAGAGGAGAGGACGCGGGTCGCCGCCGCCGCCGTCCACAACACCACTTCTATAACATTTAAATTTTCCACCATAATCATAATAGAGTGTAAAGTGATCTGTTGCAGAGGTCGTCCACGACCAGGCGAGGTGCAGTTTGCCATACTTGATTATAGGGAAATAACAGCTAGTTTGTCAATAGTGCTGTTCCTTAGAAGAGGATTATATTTTGATTATTATCCCGGGATTACTTACTTATTCCTTGGTAGATTATATTTTGATTATTATCCCAGGATTACTTACTTATTCCTTAGTAGATTATATTTTGATTATTATCCCAGGATTACTTACTTATTCCTTAGTAGATTATATTTTGATTATTATCCCAGGATTACTTACTTATTCCTTAGTAGATTATATTTTGATTATTATCCCAGGATTACTTACTTATTCCTTAGTAGATTATATTTTGATTATTATCCCAGGATTACTTACTTATTCCTTAGTAGATTATATTTTGATTATTATCCCAGGATTACTTACTTATTCCTTAGTAGATTATATTTTGATTATTATCCCAGGATTACTTACTTATTCCTTAGTATATTATATTTTGATTATTATCCCAGGATTACTTACTTATTCCTTAGTAGATTATATTTTGATTATTATCCCAGGATTACTTACTTATTCCTTAGTAGATTATATTTTGATTATTATCCCAGGATTACTTACTTATTCCTTAATAGATTTTTAATCCGATTATTATCCCAGGATTACTTATTCCTTAGTAGAAGATTTTATTCTGATTATTATCCCAGGCTGACTGGTTTATTTCCATTAGGATCCTTTGATCTTCTTCCCCAGGATGCAGCCCACATTAGTAGATTTGTATCTGAAGTTGTAATGCAGTGTTTATGTCGAGTCAGGTTCCTTGGATCAAACCTGATTGCCTCCTATCCCCAAGTGTTATATGATCCCCTATGGGCTTAGTGATTTCCTCATAAATGTAATAATTATATTACAGTATTTAAAAGTGATTAATAGTGTTAAAATATAATTTTGTAATGGCACTTCAAGGGAGATTCTTAATGCCTGGGAGGGGCTCTTGATCTAAGGAATTTGACCTAATCTCTCTCTCCCTGGATTAAACCTAATTGCTCCCAATTCCCCAGGCACTGTATAACCATTATGGGTTTAGCACTCCATGAATGTAATAATAATGTCTGATACTTTTAAGGGTAATTCTAGTCAATTACACACACATGTATGTAAGACAATTGTAATCATCCAAAAATTTTTAAAACTGTACCTAAGTAGAGGAGGGATAATGAGGAAAATAAGCAGTAGATAATTGCTTAGTAACTTGGTGGCCCATGGCCTGGTAGCAACGCTTGTTTCACACTCTGAGTGTCAGTGGTTCGATCTCTGGCAAGGGTAGACACATTGGGTGTGTTTCCTTTCACCTGTTGTCCCTTTCACTTAGCAACCCTATAGGTACCTGGGTGTTAGTTGACTGGTGTGGGTCGCATCCTGGGGGACAAGATTATGGGACTCCAGTGGAAACAAGACACAGTCTCTCAATTTCTTGGGTTTTCCTAGGTGGCTAACCTTCTGGGGTTAAAAATCCGAACAAAATCTTATCTCTTAAATTCCCAGTCTCTACTGGACTAATTTATTTTTACTCGTATTGATTCGGGTAAAATTATTTCATAAAACTTTTTTTTTCATTGATTTCATTACAGGCATGTTTTGCTAATATGGCGAGTTAGATTCCAGACAACTGCTATAAAATGAATCCCAGCCTCTTTTTCACTTGCCAGTGCATATAAAAGCCTAAAAAACATGTTTACACTATCGTTCACTAAGTGCACAATAATGCTAGGCCTGGAAATGAATGGTGTAAAATACCGACACAATGGAAATATAAACACACATGCAGTATAATGTGATCCTTTACTGACAACATTTCGCCCACATACTGGGTTTTATCAAGTCACAAACAGATCTACCTGGGTAGAAGGTACGTGAGTATTTATAGGATGAAGTCAGGTGGAGAATGCTGCACGTGACGGTGTACCGAGTAGGGTTGTAGAGTCTAATACCTAGGGTAGCATGGAAGAAAGATTGGATAAGTATATGAGTAGATCTTCTGCAGTGTTCCTCCATTCTTATGTTCTTATATGGGATAGCGATGAAGAAGTTTCTTGGCAAGGGGCTCATCTATGTTGTAGAAGCCGTTGTTCTGGTTGAAGTTCTTGGATATAGAGATAAATGATGATTCCAGGATTCTTCAACTACAGAAATACAAGACTTATCACCAGAGAAGACAACACTCAATACCGAAGAATCCTGGAATCATCACTTGCCTCAACAGTGGACTCTCAACCAGCGATGGCATCGATTAATGATAAATCTGACTAGCGATACATTTTAATGCAAAAATTTTGCCTCGACTAGTGCCTAAAAACCCGACCAGCATTATTCGTTCCGTACAAGATGCGTCCACTTTGGCCTGAGCGTGCCTCACTTGTCCCGTGGGTGCCAGTATTTACAAGCCAGCCACCGCGGTCGCTTCCAAACATACAACTGGAACATTTCATATTATCACAGCCTTTGTAGTGATTGCACCTGCAAAATAAGTCACCATGGGCCCCAAGAAAGCTTCTAGTGCCAACCCTACAGCAAAAAGGGTGAGAATTACTATGGAGATGAAGAAAGAGATCATTGCTAAGTATGAAAGTGGAGTGCGTGTCTTTGAGCTGGTCAGGTTGTATAATAAATCCCAATCAATCATAGCTACTATTGTGGGCAAGAAAACGGCAACCAAGGAAGCTGTTCTTGCCAAAGGTGCAACTATGTTTTCGAAACTGAGATCGCAAGCGGTAGATGTTGAGAGACTCTTATTGGTGTGGATAAACTAGAAACAGATAGCAGGAGATAGCATCTCTCAAGCAATCATATGTGAAAAGGCTAGGAAGTTGCATGATGATTTAATTAAAAAAATGCCAGCAACTAGTGATGTGAGTGAATTTAAGGCCAGCAAAGGTTGGTTTGAGAGATTTAAGAAGCGTAGTGGCATTCAAAGTGTGATAAGGCATGGTGAGGCTGCCAGTTCGGACCACAAAGCAGCTGAAAAATATGTGCAGGAATTCAAGGAGTACATAGACAGTGAAGGACTGAAACCTGAACAAGTGTTTAATTGTGACGAAACAGGCCTGTTTTGGAAGAAAATGCCAAGCAGGACGTACATTACTCAGGAGGAAAAGGCACTCCCAGGACATTAGCCTATGAAAGACAGGCTTACTCTGTTGATGTGTGCCAATGCTAGTGGTGATTGGAAAGTGAAGCCTTTATTGGTGTATCACTCTGAAACTCCCAGAGTGTTCAGGAAAAACAATGTCATCAAGGCTAATTTGTGTGTGCTGTGGAGGGCAAACAGTAAGGCATGGGTCACTAGGGACTTTTTCTATGACTGGTTACACCATGCATTTGCCCCCAATGTGAAAAATTACCTAATTGAAAAGAAATTAGACCTTAAGTGCCTCCTGGTAAGATAAGATAAGATAAGATAAGATTTTGTTCGGATTTTTAACCCCGGAGGGTTAGCCACCCAGGATAACCCAAGAAAGTCAGTGCGTCATCGAGGACTGTCTAACTTATTTCCATTGGGGTCCTTAATCTTGTCCCCCAGATGCGACCCACACCAGTCGACTAACATCCAGGTACCTATTTTGCTGCTAGGTGAACAGGACAATAGGTGTAAGGAAACGTGTCGGAATGTTTCCACCCGCCGGGAATCGAACCCGGGCCCTCCGTGTGTGAAGCGGGAGCTTTAGCCACCAATGCTCCTGGTCATCCTTCAGACTTGGCAGAGCGACTTTCTAGGGACATGAGCTTCATTAAGGTGAAGTTTTTGCCTCCTAATACCACTCCTCTCCTGCAGCCCATGGACCAGCAGGTCATTTCCAACTTCAAGAAACTGTACACAAAAGCTATGTTTGAAAGGTGCTTTGTAGTGACCTCAGAAACTCAACTGACTGTAAGAGAGTTTTGGAAAGATCATTTTACCATCCTCAGTTGTGTAAACATTATATGTAAGGCTTGGGAAGAAGTGACTAAGAGGACCTTGAACTCTGCTTGGAAAAGACTGTGGCCAGAATGTGTAGACAAAAGGGATTGTGAAGGGTTTGAGGCTAACCCTGAGAATCCTATGCCAGTTGAGGAATCCATTGTGGCATTGGGGAAGTCCTTGGGGTTGGAGGTTAGTGGGGAGGATGTGGAAGAGCTGGTGGAGGAGGACAATGAAGAACTAACCACTGATGAGCTGCTAGATCATCTTGAACAGCAAGAGGGCAGACCTGAGGAAACTGCTTCGGAGGAGGGGATAGAGAAATTGAAGAAGTTGCCTACTTCTAAGATTAAAGAAATGTGTGCAAAGTGGCTTGAAGTGCAAACCTTTTTTGATGAAAATCACCCTGACACAGCTACTGCAAGCCGTGTTGACAACCTGTACACTGACAATGTTGTGAACCACTTTAGGAAAGTCATAAAGGAACGAGAGGTACAGGTATCTATGGACAGATATGTTGTGCGACAGAAGTCCAGTGACTCTGAAGCTGGTCCTAGTGGCATTAAAAGAACAAGGGAAGTAACCCCAGAAAAAGACTTGCTACCTCAAGTGCTAATGGAAGGGGATTCCCCTTCTAAACACTAAGAAGATCAACGGTCTCCCCTCCTCCCATCCCATCAATCATCACCAGATCTTCAATAAAGGTAAGTGTCATGTAACTGTGCATGTCTTCTTCAGTTTGTGTGTATAAAATTAATATTTCATGTGGTAAAATTTTTTTTTTTCAATACTTTGGGGTGTCTTGCACGGATTAATTTGATTTCCATTATTTCTTATGGGGAAAGTTAACTTGACTAATGATTATTTCGATTAACGATGAGCTCTCAGGAACGGATTAATATCGCTGGTTGAGGGTCCACTGTATATCCAACAACTTCAACCAGAACAACGGCTTCTATAACATAGCTGAACCCCTTGCCAAGAAACTTTATCACCATCCTACATAAGAACATACTTGGTAAACCGACGCATGTAGCATTCTCCACCTGACTTCATCCTATAAATACTCGCGTACCTTCTACCCAGATAGATCTGTTTGTGACTTGATAAAGCCCACTGTGTGGGTGAAACGTTGTCAATAAAGGATTACATTATACTGCATGTATTTATATTTCCAATGGTAAGCCTAAAAAAAAAGATGCAAAAGTAAAAATAAATAAAAAATGATGCCAGTCAGCTGATGTGTACGTCAGTGCAGAAAATAATAAATATGAATTTAATTAAAAAGTGCCATATTACTGAAGCACCCAAGAAAGCCACTCTCTTCCTTATTTTTATTCAGGTCCTGTGATCCTCTTTCCCAGGATGTGACCCAGAACTTTCACTAACACCCAGGTCTCTACTATAATAGGCATCAGTGTAAGGAAACTTCCCCAACATTTCAACTTTTTCATTTGTGCTGAGATTGGAAATGGGTCCATTAGACATGGGTCAAGAGCTCTATCCCCTGGCTGGACGAGATGTATGGCAAAATCATTATACCTGCTGACCCAGTTCACACAATAGAAATTGGGTACTTAGGTGCTAGTTGACTATTATAGGTTGCACTGTTAGGAAGGACCTCACTGGAAGTGGCCTAAATTGCTGTGTGTAATATAGGCTTTGTAAAAAATACTTAGTAGGGAACATAAAAGAACATTGTATCACCATCAAAGGACTCAGACTATTTAACATCTTACCAGATTTCAGATACACTGCTGGAACATGTGTAGGTGTCTTCAAGAGGAAACCCGGCTAGTACCCTTACCTCCTCCAAGTGCTGGGTCATCTGGGCAGCCAGCAGCCTGGTTGACTAGGCAAGCACTAGACAAGCCTGGCCCAGGGCCATGCTGTGAGAGTATGAAGAAACTCAAAACCCATCAAAGGTATATCGAAGATAAAAGTGGAAGTGGGGTTGCACAGTGCCTGCACTTTGAATGAGTGGTGGGGAAGGGATGGTTTCAGTGGATTATTCAATTTACAGTATCAGAGTACTTTTGAAAATGACAGCTGGGGAAAGTGATGATTATATTTTTCTTTGAGATTATTGTACTGTACTTTAATCCTTGGTTGGAAACTGCTGATGTGTTAAAGTATGGTACTGCATGTATGTTAGAACAGTATAGGGATATTGTTGGTTAGAGTGGGGTATTTGTTAGTGAATTTTTTTAAAGTACGGTGTGCCTGTGGTACTGTTTTTAATACTTTTAATGAATCTTAAATTATGAAGACTGAAAAGTGGATGAATTATGCTATATATGAAAAATTACCCCCTTGCTTTGCATTTCCTCTCCCAGCCCTCCTTTGCTTCTTCCCTCAACCCACCTTCCCCTATCTTTCCAACTCTTCTCACCTTCTACTCCTTATACTTTCCCTGTCCCTACTTCCTCTTACCCTCTTCCTCACTCTTTTCCCTCCTTCCTCTCTATCCCCTCTTGCCTTCTCTTCCTCCCCAGACATATTTTATTTTAAGAATTATACTGATGCTGTTCATCGTACAACCTTCCTTTACATTGACACTTTGATTACAGATAAAATATGCTGCAAGAATGATGACACGTATCGCAGCATTAAATGACTGGTCGGTGGGGAGCAGTGAAGAAGAGGACATAGGACCTACACGAGAGGCCCTTGAGGCTGAGGCAACAAAGTCCTACAATGAAGCTATCAGATATCTTGCACATGAAAATCTAGAAGAAGCTCATAAACACTTCTGTCAAGTCCTTCAAAATCCTTATATTGAGAAAGTAGGTGCACAGTAATTTGAAGAGTTTTTTCATTTCTTATTTACATAATTCAGAAAATTTAATGGCACATCTAAGAACAGCTGCTTTAGATACAGTAAAAAAAACATTTATAAAGGCAGCTTAATTATGTTTTGCATCAATGCTAGTGAATGCAGCTTTGAATGAGGGCAAATTTTGAGCAATCTTATTGTTCAGTCTTACAGCACTTAATAATTCACACAGGTTTAGGGCTTTAGGTAAATATAATTATACACAGTCATTGGAATATAGTGTGAATATGAGTAGCATTATAATTATAATGTTTGTACAGGTTTAATAACTAATTAGACATGCCATTATGCAAACGTATACTTTCAGTAGCTTGCTTTATTCCTAACTCCTTAGTTCTTACCATATTTAATTTATAATTTGCCTTTACTACCTAGTGATTTCTATTTATTCCCTTTCATGATGAAGTTCTTTATTATAACTGGCTCTTTGACATTTTATCTACTTGTACTCTCCTTGTCTTTGTCCAACCCTCAAACAGTCTATCTTGAGGTACCTTGTCAATATAAAATATACTTTTTGCACATGTGAAAGGTTTACCTCGATTATCTCCCTCTTGGTTGGCAAGATACTACTAGCCTTGTCATCCCTTCCCCCATTCTTGTCAAAATGCATTTGGCAAGGCTAAATTTAAATGACCCTTTACTGAACTATTCTTGTATCATGTCCATGTCTTCTTGAGCCTTTTATTTTTTTCCTCAGTCTTCTGTATTTTTTTTTCTCATGAGCTTCATGTCATCTGTGAGTTTGACAAACAAGATTCGATTTCTTTGGGTATGTCGCTGGTATATGCGACATAACTAAAGTTTACTTGAAGTTTGGTGAGCTCAGCATTTAGTACTATTTTCCTTTTGTATAACATTTCATTGTGCATAAGTTAACATGTTGTGCTACAGATATAGATGTTGTGTAACAAGATGAGAATGTTACATTTCAGGCGTGCTGGTCAGAAGGCGTTAAACCAGGAGGCACACTACCACAGGATCTAGCACTACGATACTCATGCCTCAAAAACCTTGGTAATCTTGCCAGTAAACAAGGAAAGGATGATGAGGCAGCCAAATATTACTTGGAGGTATGCTAACATTAACCAACAGGAAGTATGTCTGTCTGGTGCTCAGCAGATGGAGGATCGAGCCTCCACCACGTGTTGCTCTGCATGACCCACGTGGGTTTAATGCTTAACATGAATTATTATTTCACACATTCCTCAATACATTACCTCCCTTTTCCTCACTTGTCACTACTGTAGTTCACCTTGTCTTTCATAGTATCTGCTGACATGTCCCTTCCCAAATATCTAAGTACATCCAATTCATTCATACCTCCTCTGCCAAATCATTTATTTAATCTTTTATTACCTGGAGAGGGTTTTGGGGGTCAATGCCCCTTTGGCCCAGTCTAAGACCAGGCCTCGTAGTGGATCAGGATCTGATCAACCAGACTGCTACTGCTGGCTGCACGCAAACTAACATATGAACCACAGCCTGGTTGGTCAGGTACCGAATTAAGGTGCCTGTTCAATACCATCTTGAAGACAGCCAGGGGTTTATTTTGTTACTTTCATCACCTAGAGGAGATGGGAGATACATATATATCTGTTTAACTTTGTGCATTTGAACTTTTTATTATCTGATAATCAGTGAGTTCTCCATGGGGAAGTGGAACAGAATTCTTCCTCCGTAAGCTGTGTGTGTTGTAAGAGGCGACTAAAATGCTGGGAGCAAGGGGCTAGTAACCCCCTCTGTAAAAATTACTAAATTTAAAAAGAAAAATTTTAGTTTTTCTTTTTAGGTCACCCTGCCTTGGTGGGATACGGCCAGTGTGTTAAAAAAAATATCAAGGAGTTATTTCTGTAATGAGTTATGTGATGTTTGTTTTCAGGCTGTACAAGTAGATAGTTCAGAAGTAATCCTTTGGCAGAGACTTGGAGCCACAGCAATCAAATTGAAGGACTTTGAACTTGCATTAGTTGCATTTCAAGAAGTATGTTTTTCCCTCTTTAATTTTAACTTTATGCTATACTGTAATTTAAATATTGTATATTGTACAGTATGCCACTCGATAGTTTTGTTGGATTTTATAAATAAAGACAGAATGCCTCGTTTTATTGGGTTTAATGACATGTAGGATATAAAAGATGTTTTAAATGAAAGCCAAGTTTAGTCATGCATGCTAATTAAATTTTCTGGTATACTCCATGGATTTGTAGGACTCTTTAACAATTGGATTAAATTAATAGTATAAATAATATTGTAAAAATTTATTTAAACTTTTTTAATAAAGAAAGTACCATAAGGTAATATCTCACAAATGGTCATATAAAATTAGAAGTGTAGTTATTGGTGACTGGGGATGCCTCTTGTTTTTTGGTCACACAATGACTGACGTGTACATGGGTTTTGTCAATAGTGGATAATTGTTACAGAGCAATTTCTTTTGTTCGTATAATGCACATTCCATGATTAAGCTCTTAATTGACTACAACAAAAAATTCCTTTCTCAGGGCCTTAATGTCAATCCAAAACACTGGCCATGCTTGGACCAGTTGCTGTCAGTTCTTTTTATTCTTGAAATGTACATGGACTGTCTTGGGCTAGTAATTTCTGCTCTTGCTCGAGATCCTGGCTACATTAAAGCCAATGCATTCAAGGACAGAATATTTGAACTTCAACCCTCGCTTGTAGAAGATGTCAAGTTCTTTTATCGTGACAGGTAGGAGTCCCTTAGTTTTATAATCATTTTGGTTTATCTGTGATTAGATTTTTTTATGTTTTAATTTACAGTGGACCCCTGCCTTACGATATTAATCCGTTCCTGAGAGCTCATCGTGAGCCGAAATAATCGTAAGGCGAATTAATTTTCCCCATAAGAAATAATGGAAATCAAATTAATTCGTGCAAGACACCCAGAAGTCTGAAAAAAAAAATTTTACCACATGAAATATTAATTTTAATACACACAAACTTAAGAAGACATGCACAATTAATACTCTACCAAGGATAGAATACATGATGCTTACCTTTATTGAAGATCTGGTGATGATTGATGGGATGGGAGGAGGGGAGAGTGTGGAAGTTGTTATTGTTTAGAAGGGGAATTCCCTTCCATTAGGACTTGAGGTATCAAGTCTTTTTCCGGGGTTACTTCCCTTCTTCTTTTAATGCCACTAGGACCAGCTTGAGAGTCACTGGACCTCTGTCTCAAAACAAATCTGTCCATAGAGCTCTGTACTTCCCGTTCCTTTAAGATTTGCCTAAAATGGGCCACAACATTGTCATTGTAATAGTCACCAGCACGGTTTGCAATAGCTGTGTTAGGGTGCTTTTCATCCATAAAGATTTGCAGTTCAACCCACTTTGCACACATTTCCTTAATCTTTGAAGTAGGCACAATGGATTCCATGACTGGCATAGGAGACACACACCACACACACAACACACACACACACACACACACACACACACACACACACACACACAACACACACACACCACACACCACACACACACACACACACACACACACACACACACACACACAACACACACACACACACACACACACACACGCAGAGCATTACAAACTCCACCCCCACAGCAACCACCCATAGTTCCTTATCAGGTCTCCCACTTCCCCAACCCCAATATACCTCCCAGACCACAGTCTTAGAAAAGAAGTTGAAGGTGTGGTATGCAAATAAAGATGGAATAACAAATAAATATGAGGAGTGGCAAGAAAGAATCAAGGAGACATCCCCATACATAATAGCACTCACAGAAACAAAACTCACCAGAATAATAACAGATTCAATCTTTCCATCCGGATATCAAATCCTCAGGAAAGACAGAGGGAGGAGAGGGGGAGGAGGAGTTGCACTGCTCATTAAAAACCAGTGGGATTCTGAGAAAATGGAAGGAATGGATGGCACGGGCGAAAGGGACTACTTAGTAGGAACAATCCAGTCTGAGGGACATAAGGTGATAATTGCAGTAATGTACAACCCACCACAGAACTGCAGGAGGCCAAGAGAAATACGATGAGAGCAACAGAGCAATGGTTGACACACTAGCCGAGGTGGCCAGGAGAGCACACATGGGGGGAGCAAAGTTACTAGTTATGGGTGATTTCAATCACAAGGAGATTGACTGAGAAAACCTGGAGCCCCATGGGGGTCCCGAAACATGGAGAGCCAAGATGATGGATGTGGTACTGGAAAACCTCATGCATCAACATGTTAAGAGACACTACCAGAGAGAGAGGAGAGGATGAACCAGCAAGACTGGACCTTGTATTCACCTTGAGTAGTTCTGACATCGAGGATATCATGTATGAAAGGCCCCTGGGAGCTAGTGATCATGTGGTTCTGTGCTTCGACTACATAGTTGAGCTCCAAGTGGAGAGAGCAGCAGGAATAGGGTGGGAAAAACCAAACTACAAAAGGGGGGAACTACTCAGGCTTGAGGAACTTCTTTCAAGACATTCAGTGGGAGAGGGAACTGATAGGAAAACCAGTACAAGAAATGATGGACTGTGGCAACAAAATGCAAGGAGGCAGAGGAGAGGTTTGTTCCCAAGGGAAACAGAAATAATGGGAAGAACAGAATGAGTCCTTGGTTCACCCAAAGGTGTAGGGAGGCAAAAACTAGGTGTACTAAAGAATGGAAAAGGTACAGAAGACAGAGAACTCAGGAAAATAAAGAGATTAGCCGAAGAGCCAGAAACGAATATGCACAGATAAGAAGGGAGGCTCAGCGGCAGTACAAAAATGACATAGCATCGAAAGTCAAGACTGACCCGAAGCTGTTGTACAGCCACATCAGGAGGAAAACAACAGTCAAGGACCAGGTAATCAGACTGAGGAAGGGTGATGGGGAATTCACAAGAAACGACCGGGAGGTATGTCAGGAGCTCAACACAAGATTTAAAGAAGTATTTACAGTGGAAACCAGTAGGACTCCAGGAAATCAGAGGAGGGGGGTGCACCAGCAAGTGCTGGATGAGGTACATATAACCAAGGAGGAGGTGAAGAAGCTGCTATTCGAACTTGACACCTCAAAGGCGGTGGGACCAGACAACATCTCTCCGTGGGTCCTTAAAGAGGGAGCAGAGATATTGTGTGTACCGTTAACAAGATCTTCAACACATCATTTGAAACTGAGCATCTCCCCGAGGTATGGAAGATGGCAAATGTAGTCCCAATTTTTAAAAAGGGAGACAGACATGAGGCACTAAACTACAGACCTGTATCACTAACGTGTATAGTATGCAAGGTCATGGAGAAGATCATCAGGAGGAGAGTGGTGGAGCACCTGGAAAGAAACAAGTGTATAATTGACAACCAGCATGGTTTCAGGGAGGGAAAATCCTGTGTCACAAACCTACTAGAGTTTTATGACAAGGTGACAGAAGTAAGACAAGAGAGAGAGGGGTGGATCGACTGCATTTTTTTGGACTGCAAGAAGGCCTTCGGCACAGTTCCTCACAAGAGGTTACTGCAAAAGCTAGAGGATCAGGCACACATAGCAGGAAAGGCACTGCAATGGATCAGAGAATACCTGACAGGGAGGCAACAACAAGTCATGGTACGTGACGAGGTGTCAGAGTGGGCGCCTGTGACAAGCGGGGTTCCACAGGGGTCAGTCAGGGGTCAGGTCCTGTGCTGTTCTTGGTATATGTGAATGACATAACGGAAGGGATAGACTCAGAAGTGTCCTTGTTTGCGGACGATGTGAAGTTAATGAAAAGAATCAAATCGGATGAGGATCAGGCAGGACTACAAAGAGACCTGGACAGGCTACAAGCCTGGTCCAGCAACTGGCTCCTTGAGTTTAACCCTGCCAAATGCAAAGTCATGAAGATTGGGGAAGGGCAAAGAAGACTGCAGACACAATATAGTTTAGATGGCCAAAGTCTGCGAACCTCACTCAAGGAAAAAGATCTGGGGGTGAGTATAACACCGAGCATATCTCCCGAGGCGCACATCAATCAGATAACTGCTGTGGCATACGGGCGCCTGGCAAACCTACGGATAGCGTTCCGATACCTCAGTAAGGATTCGTTCAAGACTCTGTTATACCATTTACGTCAGGCCCATACTGGAGTATGCAGCACCAGTTTGGAATCCACACCTAGTCAAGCACGTCAAGAAATTAGAGAAGTGCAAAGGTTTGCAACAAGACTAGTCCCAGAGCTACGGGGATTGTCCTACGAAGAAAGGTTGAGGGAAATCGGCCTGACGACCACTGGAGGCAGGAGGGTCAGGGAGACATGATAACGACATATAAAATACTGCGCGGAATAGACAAGGTGGACAAAGACGCGATGTTCCAGAGATGGGACACAGACACAAGAGGTCACAATTGGAAGTTGAAGACTCAGATGAATCAAAGGGATGTTAGGAAGTATTTCTTCAGTCATAGAGTAGTCAAGCCGTGGAATAGCCTAGAAAGTGAAGTAGTGGAGGCGGGAACCATACATAGTTTTAAGGCGAGGTATGATGAAGCTCATGGAGCAGGGAGAGAGAGGACCTAGTAGCAATCAATGAAGAGGCAGGGCCAGGAGCTATGACTCAACCCCTGCAACCACAAATAGGTGAGTACACGGACATGTAATATACACGCGATTCGTCCGGGATGTGTCCCAATGAATCGCGTGAGGCGAGTTTTTTTAGCATGAGGCGAGGCAAAATTTTTGCATTCAAATGTATCGTATGGCAGATTTAACGTAACACAATGCCATCGTAAGGTGGGGTCCACTGTATTTGGTTTGATTAATACTACTACAGTGGATCCCTGGTTTACGATATTATTTCATTCCAGAAGTATGTTCAGGTGCCAGTACTAACCGAATTTGCTCTCATAAGGAATATTGTGAATTAGATTAGTCCATTTCAGACACCCAAACATACACATACAAACGCACTTACATAAATACACTTACATAATTGGTCGCATTTGGAGCTGATCGTAAATCGAGGGTCCACTGTACTTGCTAGAATATAAACTTCAGAAATAGTTATCGCTTCTTTATTTCAGTTCTTGTATTGAAATTTAATTAAAATTAAAGATTAAAAAGAAAAATGCACTGCTAGTTTTTTAAAAGATATAGAATAAAAAATTCATAAATAGAATTTTGACTGGTTTTGTGTGTGAATAATCTTTTGACTGTTTTCCTACAGTTCTGTTCACTTTTTTTTGCCTCATTAGTGCCTGGATTAATGGTGATAATTTTTTTTTTTTTTTTCAACAAGTCGGCCATCTCCCACCGAGGCAGGGTGACCCAAAAAAGAAAGAAAATCCCCAAAAAGAAAATACTTTCATAATCATTCAACACTTTCACCACACTCACACATTATCACTGTTTTTGCAGAGGTGCTCAGAATACAACAGTTTAGAAGCATATACGTATAAAGATACACAACATATCCCTCCAAACTGCCAATATCCCAAACCCCTCCTTTAAAGTGCAGGCATTGTACTTCCCATTTCCAGGACTCAAGTTTGACTATATATGAAAATAACCGGTTTCCCTGAATCCCTTCACTAAATATTACCCTGCTCACACTCCAACAGATCGTCAGGTCCCAAGTATCATTCGTCTCCATTCACTCCTATCTAACACGCTCATGCACGCTTGCTGGAAGTCCAAGCCCCTCGCCCACAAAACCTCCTTTACCCCCTCTTTCCAACCCTTTCGAGGACGACCCCTACCCCTCCTTCCTTCCCCTATAGATTTATATGCTTTCCATGTCATTCTACTTTGATCCATTCTCTCTAAATGACCAAACCACCTCAACAACCCCTCTTCTGCCCTCTGACTAATGCTTTTATTAACCCTTTCAGGGTCCGTCCCGTAGATCTACGGCTTTACGTTCAGGGTCCAAACCGTAGATCTACGCCATGAGCTCAGCTCACTCTGATAAAAATGTGAGTGGTACATTTGGGCCTAGATATGAGAGAATACATCTATGTGGTATGTGTGCACCACATAAAACAGATCCTGCAGCACACTGTGTATAATGAGAGAAAAAAAAATGAAATCATGATTTTTCGATTAAAACAGCAACTTTGCAGTGTTTTTTTGTATGTTTTTTATAGTTGTATTTGCGATTTCTTGGTCTCATTTGATAGAATGGAAGACATATTACAGAAATAGAGATGATTTTGATTGGTTTTGCACTGGAAATGGCTTGAAACTGAGCTCAAAGTAGCAGAAATGTTAAATTTTTGCCGATATTCAAGAGTAAACAAACGACCTCACACTTCTAATACATGTCAGCTGGTGGGTCTAATATACATTCACAAATATGGTGATGATATTTATACAATTATTACAGTATTGCATAACGTAAATCTTCTATTTTTTGGTGTGAATAAAAATTCATTATGTGAATAAAAATCAAAATGGAATTTATTTGTAAAGCCTCAAAACATAACTAATGAACAGAGGAAATGTTAGTTTAGTGCCAGGAATGCCTACATTGTTCATTCTGGACCCTATTTTGAAATTGGAATATTTTAAACTTTGTGTTAAATTGGCCAAATTAACAATTTCCAATCACTTTATTTTGTAGTTGAAACAGTTGCTTGGCGATTTCTTGTGCTCAATCGATAGAATAGAGTAATACTAGTGAAATAGCTAAGAATTTGGTTGATTGGAATAATGTAATTGGCCTAAAATGGGAGTCAAAGTCGGCAAAATCGCCGATTCGTAAATATCGCTGACACATCAAAATTCGCGAGAGCATAATTTCGTCAATTTTCCACCAAATTTCGTACTTTTTGTTTTATTACCTTCACAAAAAGATTCTCTACGATTTCATAAGAAAAAATAACAAATTTTTTTTTTGAAAATTCTTGGACACTGGTGCGTGCGTGACTCCAGATTTGGGCCTTGGACCCTGAAAGGGTTAACACACCTTCTCCTAATTTCCACACTCCGAATTTTCTGCATAATATTTACACCACACATTGCCCTTAGACAGGACATCTCCACTGCCTCCAACCGTCTCCTCACTGCTGCATTTACCACCCAAGCTTCACATCCATATAAGAGTGTTGGTACTACTATACTTTCATACATTCCCTTCTTTGCCTCCATAGATAACGTTTTTTGACTCCACATATACCTCAACGCATCACTCACCTTTTTTCCCTCATCAATTCTATGATTAACCTCATCCTTCATAAATCCATCTGCCGACAAGTCAACTCCCAAGTGTCTGAAAACATTCACTCTTCCATACTCCTCCTCCCAATTTGATATCCAATTTTTCTTTATCTAAATCATTTGATACCCTCATCACCTTACTCTTTTCTATGTTCACTTTCAACTTTCTACCTTTATACACATTCTCAAACTCATCACTAACCTTTGCAATTTTTCTTTAGAATCTCCATTAGCACAGTATCATCAGCAAAAAGTAACTGTGTCAATTCCCATTTTGAATTTGATTCCCCATAATTTAATCCCACCCCTCTCCCGAACACCCTAGCATTTACTTCTTTTACAACCCCATCTATAAATATATTAAACAACCATGGTGACATTACACATCCCTGTCTAAGACCTACTTTTACCGGGAAGTATTCTCCCTCTCTTCTACACACCCTAACCTGAGCCTCACTATCCTCATAAAGCTCTTTACAGCATTTAGTAACTTACCACTATTCCATATACTTGCAAACATCTGCCACATTGTCTCTCTATCCACTCTATCATATGCCTTTTCTAAATCCATAAATGCAATAAAAACTTCCCTACCTTTATCTAATACTGTTCACATATATGCTTCAATGTAAACACTTGATCTACACTCCCCTACCCACTCTGAAGCCTCCCTGCTCATCCGCAATCCTACATTCTGTCTTGCCTCTAATTCTTTCAATTATAACCCTACCGTATACTTTTCCTGGTATACTCGGTAAACTTATTCCTCTATAATTTTTACAATCTCTTTTGTCCCCTTTCCCTTTATATAAAGGGACTATTACATGCTCTCCGCCAATCCCTAGGTACCTTCCCTCTTTCATACATTTATTAAACAAAAGTAAAAACCACTCCAACACTATATCCCCCCCTGCTTTTAACATTTCTGTCATGATCCCATCAGTTCCAGCTGCTTTACCCCCTTTCATTCTATGTAATGCCTCATGTACCTCCACCACACTTACATTCTGCTCTTCTTCACTCTTAAAAGATGGTATACCTCCCTGGCCAGTGCATGAAATTACCGCCTCCCTTTCTTCCTTAACATTTAAAAGTTCCTCAAAATATTCTCGCCATCTACCTAATACCTCCCTCTCCCCATCTACTAACTCCCCTACTCTGTTTTTAACTGACAAATCCATACTTTCCCTAGGCTTTCTTAACTTGTTTAACTCACTCCAAATTTTTGTCTTATTTTCATTAAAATTTCTTGACAGTGCCTCTCTCACTCTATGATCTTCTCTCCTTTTGCACTCTCTCACCACTCTCTTCACCTTTCTCTTACTCTCCATATACTCTGCTCTTCTTATAACACTTCTGCTTTGTAAAAAACCTCTCATAAGCTACCTTTTTCTCTTTTATCACACCCTTTACTTCATCATTCCACAATCACTCCTCTTTCCTCCTGCCCCCACCCTCTATAACCACAAACTTCTGCCCCACATTCTAATACTGCATTTTTAAAACTATTCCAACCCTCTTCAACCCCCCACTACTCATCTTTGCACTAGCCCACCTTTCTGCCAATAGTCGCTTATATCTCGCCCGAACTTCCTCCTCCCTTAGTTTATACATTTTCACCTCCCTCTTACTTGTTGTTGCCACTTCCCCTTTTCCCATCTACCTCTTACTCTAACTGTAGCTACAACTAAATAATGATCCGATATATCAGTTGCCCTCTATAAACAGTACATCCTGGAGCCCGCCATCAACCTTTTATCCACCAATACATAAAACTAACAAACTACTTTCATTACGTGCTACATCATACCTTGTAAATTTATTTATCCTCTTTTTCATAAAATATGTATTACTTATTACCAAATTTCTTTCTACACATAGCTCAATTAAAGGCTCCTCATTTACATTTACCCCTGGCACCCCAAATTTACCTACTACTCCCTCCATAACATTTTTACCCACTTTAGCATTGAAATCCCCAACCACCATTACTCTCACACTTGATTCAAAACTCCCCACGCATTCACTCAACATTTCCCAAAATCTCTCTCTCTCCTCTACACTTCTCTCTTCTCCAGGTGCATACACGCTTACTATAACCCACTTTTCACATCCAATCTTTATTTTACTCCACATAATCCTTGAATTTATACATTTGTAGTCCCTCTTTTCCTGCCATAGCTTATCCTTCAACATTATTGCTACTCCTTCTTTAGCTCTAACTCTATTTGAAACCCCTGACCTAATCCCATTTATTCCTCTCCATTGAAACTCTCCCACCCCCTTCAGCTTTGTTTCACTTAAAGCCAGGACATCCAGTTTCTTCTCATTCATAACATCGACAATCATCTCTTTCTTATCATTTGCACAACATCCACTCACATTCAGACTTCCCACTTTGACAATTTTCTTCTTATTCTTTTTAGTAATCTTTACAGGAAAAGGGGTTACTAGCCCATTGTTCCCGGCATTTTAGTTGACTTTTACAACACGCATGGCTTACGGAGGAATGATTCTTATTCCACTTCCCCATGGATATAAAAGGAAAAGTAATAAGACCAAGAACTATTAAGATAAAATCAAAGAAAACTCAGATGAGTGTGTATAAATAAATGTGTACATGTATGTGTAGTGTGACCTAAGTGTAAGTAGAAGTAGCAAGACATGCCTGTAATCTTGCATATTTATGAGACAGACAAAAGACACCAGCAATCCTCCCATCATGTAAAACAATTACAGGCTTTCGTTTTACACTCACTTGGCAGGACGGTAGTACCTCCCTGGGTGGTTGCTGTCTACCAACCTACTACCTGATAAATAGCTTAAAATAATATATTGTGCAATAAAAAAAAATGTTCAAGTGTCAAATTCTTCCTCTTATTAAACCAGGTCTTAAATTCACTGAAACATTAAAGTTTTTTTTTTTTTTTAAGGAAAAGCAGTGCTTTCCAAACACCACTGACTATTAGGCCCTGATAATTTATTAGTATTATTATTAACTAGCATGGATATTATATTTTACTATATAATATTCAAGAATTTTTTTTTATTAATAAAAAAAACTGAATTTTAATATTTGCAAGCAAGGAGGTGAAATTTTCATATGGAAATAGGAAGTTAGATTAAAAGGCAAATTCATGTTATTTACCCTTATCTTATATCGTAAAATTATGCATTCCCTAAAAACTAATCATAATCAATTTAAAGGAATAGTTTTAGAAACATTCGCCCGGTATTATGTGCACTTTGCAATGCTGTATGCGTATACAGTTCTGTAAACACCTCCGTTATATCACATAGACAATGTACTATTTTTACAGCTCGGTTCTCTTCAAAGTGGTTGATTATGACAAAACCAAAGGAGAGAAATTTATAGCAACTTGTGAATCATTACGTCCTCCAAGTAAAACTCTACGACCTCCATCCCCCTTCCAGCTGCAACGGCTAAGAAAACCCATGTCAAAGCTTTCATGGGTAGACCTTGGACAAGCACTTGTACTCACCTATGATCATCTTGTAGAGGCTGATGGATTAGTAAGTGATATTTGAATTCTAAAAAATTATTATTATACTTAATGTTTTTTCACATGTGCATAATACCGTATTTTGGTAAGAGATTTTTATTCTGTTACTAAGTATGGGGAAATACATTGGATTGCCTGTCAACACTTCTATATAAAATCTTGTTTCCATTTGATAAATTTAGAAATACTTTGTAAATTCAAAGAAAATCTAGTATATATGTAGTTAAGCTTGGACTCTGAAAGCAGCGGGTGAATAACTAAAACATGATAAGGAAGAACATAATTCTTCAAAATTTTCTGACAAAAAGTAAATTGTGTAATGGAAGTGGGTATCTCAACTGGTAGCTATCCACTTAACCCACCCAGGCCTCATTTTTTAGTTTAAAAAAACCTGGGCTTGACCTGGCACCTTAACTCAAAAGTTATTTATTATGGTTTTGATACATAGTTATAGTAATTTAGCTCTTAATCTTTTATTGATGCTTTTTATAGATTGGTCAAAATTCAGTATTTTAACCCTTTCAGGGTCGACAGGTCCTCTCAGAAACTTGTTCTCAGGGTCGGCCAAATTTAAAAAAAAAAAATTTATTTTTCTTTATGAAAAGATAGAGAATCTTTTCCTGATCATATTGACTCCAAAAGTATGAAATTTGATGGAAAACTTACGGAATTATGCTCTCGCGAAGTTAGTGGCCTCAACGATGTTTACGCATCAACGATTTTCCCCACTTTAAGCCCTATTTTCGGCCAATTCCAGTGTACTTGTTGACAAAAATCATAACTATTTCGCTAGAACTCCATTTTTCCTATCAAATGAGTACAAGAAACCACCCATTTCAACTATCCAATACAGTGGTCAGAATTTAGCAATTTTGCCAATTTCACACAAATTTCAAAAGATGCCAGTTTCAGAATAGGGCTCAGAATAAACAAGAAAGACATTCCTGGCACTAAAATAACATTTCCTCTGTTCATTAGTCACGTCCCCCATGCACCTCTTACATTCTTTTGCTTTCCACTTTGAATTTTTATTCTCACAAAAAAATAGAAGATTTACTGTTATGCAGACTACTGCATTGGTGTAGAAATGGTATAAATAATATCAGCGTACTTGTGAAAGAATATTAGACTCGCCAGTTGACGTGTATTGGACGCATAGCATGATTTGTTTACTTTTGAACTTTGGTAAAAATCGAACATTTCTGCTACTTTGAGCTCAATTTCAAGGTACTTTTCTTTGTAAAACCAGTCAAAATCATCTCAATTTCTGTAGTATGTCTTCCATTCTATAAAATGAGACCAGGAAAACTAGAATACAACAATAAATACCATATGAAAATACAGTGCAAATTCGCTGTTTTAATCCAAAAAAATGGTCAGTCTTTTTTTTCTCATTATGCACTGTGTGCTGCAGGATTTTTTTTATACCACACACTCTAACCACATAGACCCATTCTTTCATATGTAGGCCTACCAGCTTTCTCTCGCTAGATTTGAGGGCGCTAGAATTTAGGCGTACTAGTACATCAAAAACCCTGGCTTGTAAGCCGTACTAGTACGGCTGAAACACTGAAAGGGTTAAAACAGTGTACCCTTACTGTTAATGTATACAGTAATACTGTTTAGTATAATTTAAATTTCAGTAAATCATTAGTGGAATGTAGCTCAGTGGTAGTGAATCTGGAGACAGCATTGGACAATCGACCAGTCTACCTGCTATCTGAGCACAAAGCTAGAATTAGATCAAATAAATGGAAAATTAACATACTGTACTAGCTTAAGCCTCAATTCCACAGTCAAAAACTATACCACATTGTTCATTTAGATACTGCACGGTAAGAAGTATATTTAATTGTCACCAAAAATTTTTTTAGAGGAAGCAAGAGACATTTTTCATAAAGGTAGTCTACCTTATTATAGCATTTCATCATGATGAAGGAGCACTTGGGTGGGTCTGCTGGTCTGCTGTAATATTTCACATGCTCAGCAGGCTTCTCCAGTCTAATAAAGAGCCTGCTGCACAGGTGTGAAACTGCAGCAATAAAGATACCTGTGTGTTGCTCATCTGTTATCTGCTTCTCAGTATTGTATCCTTGTATTCCATTAATACTGTATAATGGTACAGGTGTTAATCCCTTTATCATTAAGCACAGTCAGGTCACCTCTTATTCCATACATTTAGAGAGTTTAAGCAGCTTTCATTATTGTATAATTTTTAATGTATCTATTGTTAACTGTTTAATTATAATTTGTTAACAAATTACATTTTATACTGTGCACTACAGATACTTTACAGATTTTTTTCACATTTCTAAGAAATGCATTTTCATTTTATAATTTGACAAAGTACTGTACTGTGGCATGTTTACAGTTTTATACATCAGACTTCAGTATGCATGCCATTAATCTACATTCCATTAGCCCCTTGACTGTCAAAACCCCAAATCCTGAGGTGTCTTCTGGTGTCGAAAAATTTTTGAAAAAAAAAAAACAAAAATTCTTATGAAATAATAGAGAATCTTTTCCCAATGGTAATGACACCAAAAAAACGAAAATTGATGAAAAACTTCTGGAATAACACTCGCGAAGTTAGTGACCTCAGCGATATTTACGAATCGGAGATTTTGCCCACTTTGAGCCCTATTTTTGGCTAATTCCATTGTTCCAGTCAACCAAACTCATAGCTATTTCTTTAGAGCTCCATTTGTTCTATGAATTGAGTACAAGAAACTGCCCATTTACTGATTTCAACTATCCAATAACGTAGTCAGAAATTTGCAATTTGGCCAATTTCACACAAATTAAAAAATATGCCAATTTCAAAATAGGGTTCAGAATGAACAATGCGGACATTCTTGGCTCTAAAATAACATTTCTTTGTTCATCAGTCACATCTCTAGGCCCCTCTGATATTACTCTTGCTTTCTCTTTTGAATTTTTATTCAAACAAAAAATAGAAGGTTTACTGTTATGCAGACTACTGCAATATTGTAATTGTATAAATAATGTCAACCCATTCATGCCTGCATATTAGAATGGCTAGTTGGACATTTATTGGACAAGGACATCATATGTTTACTTTTGAACATCGGGAAAAGTCAAGCATTTCCCCTACTTTGAGCTCCATTTCAAGGTTCTTTTCATAGTAAAACCAATCAAAATCAACTCTATTTCCATTCTATCAAATGAGACCAAGAAAACGAGAATACAACGATAAATACTATACGAAAATGCACCACAGCTTTTTTTTTCTCCTTATGCATTGTATAATGCAGGATTTTTTTTTAATATGGTGCACACTGACCACACAGACCCATTCTCTCACATGTGGGCCTACCAGCTTTCCCCTGCTTGATTTGAAGCCGCTAGAATTTTTGAGTATATGTACGCCAAACACAGTGACTCGTAAGACGTATATATACGACCGAAACAGTCAAAGGGTTAATGATTTACTTTTAATGTGAACTGTGCTGTGTGGTATTAATGTATAGTGTAGCAGTGAGAGCACAGTTTCTTTTTTTTTTTTTTTTTTTTTTAACCATCCTCTGAAAATTGTAAATAAAAGATTCAGCTAAATTGCCATAACTCTTAATAATGAAACCATAAAAATTATTTTTTTGAGTAAAGATGCCTGGTCAGGCTAAGGCACTGCTGCCCAAGACTGATATCGCGGCTAGGGCACCACCACCCCAGACTGACATCGTGGCTAGGGGACCGCTGCGCCAGACTGACATTGTGGCTAGGGCACTGCAGCCCTAGACCGACATCGTAGCTAGGGTACCAATGCCCCAGACTGACACTGAGGCTATGGCACCGATGTCCCAGACTGACATCCTGTCTTGGGTACTGTCTTAAACTGACATATTGGATTAGGGTACCCTGTCTCACACTGATATCCTTGATTAGGGCCCTCCATCCCTGACTGACATCCTGGCTTAGGCCCCCTTGTCCCTGACTGACATCTTGGCTTAAGGCATCCCCATCTATGACAGACATCCTGGCTTAGGGTGCCCCCATCCCTGACTGACATCCTGTCTTGGGGTCTCCAGTCACTGACTGACATCCTAGCTTAGGGCTCAGATCACTAACTGACATCCTAGCCTAGCCCCCACCCCAGTCCCTGACTGACATCCTAGCTTAAGCCCTCCATCCCAGATTGTCGTTCTGTCTTTGTCACTGTCCCCAACTTCTGATTGGGCGTCATCCCTGACTTCTGGTTGGGCACCGCCCCAGACTCCTGGTTGAGCACCGCCCCAGACTCCTGGTTGGGCGCCGCCCCAGACTCCTGGTTGGGCGCCGCCCCAGACTCCTGGTTGGGCGCCGCCCCAGACTCCTGGTTGGGCGCCGCCCCAGACTCCTGGTTGGGCGCCGCCCCAGACTCCTGGTTGGGCGCCGCCCCAGACTCCTGTTGGGCGCCGCCCCAGACTCCTGGTTGGGCGCCGCCCCAGACTCCTGGTTGGGCGCCGCCCCAGACTCCTGGTTGGGCGCCGCCCCAGACTCCTGGTTGGGCGCCGCCCCAGACTCCCCCCCCCCTGGTTGGGCGCCGCCCCAGACTCCTGGTTTGGGCGCCGCCCCAGACTCCTGGTTGGGCGCCGCCCCAGACTCCTGGTTGGGCGCCGCCCCAGACTCCTGGTTGGGCGCCGCCCCAGACTCCTGGTTGGGCGCCGCCCCAGACTCCTGGTTGGGCGCCGCCCCAGACTCCTGGTTGGGCGCCGCCCCAGACTCCTGGTTGGGCGCCGCCCCAGACTCCTGGTTGGGCGCCGCCCCAGACTCCTGGTTGGGCGCCGCCCCAGACTCCTGGTTGGGCGCCGCCCCAGACTCCTGGTTGGGCGCCGCCCCAGACTCCTGGTTGGGCGCCGCCCCAGACTCCGGTTGGGCGCCGCCCCTGACTCCTGTTGGGCGCCGCCCCTGACTCCTGGTTGGGCGCCGCCCCTGACTCCTGGTTGGGCGCCGCCCCTGACTCCTGGTTGGGCGCCGCCCCTGACTCCTGGTTGGGCGACATCCTGGCTT